CCACCGGTAGAGATGCGTGAAGACCTACAATATGCAGTGGAGCCGGTGAAGATTGTGGGTCAACAGGTAAAGAAACTGAGGAACAAGGAGATTCCTATGGTAAAAGTCCTTTGGAGGAGTGATCGAGTCGAAGAAGAAACCTGGGAGACTGAGGTCTCAATGAGGGAGCAGTACCCTTTCCTTTTCGATTAGACACGCGGATTTCGGGGACGAAATCCCAAATAAGGGGGGGTGAACTTGTAACACCGTCCCCAAATGTATTTATCTTTAAGCGAATAATTTATTGAACCCTATGAAATTTTTAGTGAATTTACGAGGTTGTGAATTCGTATTAATTTTTTTCGCGTGAATAGTAAAATGCACGTGGGGCCCGCATCGGGAGTGGGGACCGCCCGATATTATCGGGACCACATATTAGATTCATCTGGGCCTAGAAAACATGTATATGGTGGTGGATATCCTAATTGGTCCATAGCAATGGCACAGGGTTGACCGGTTGGTCGAACAAGGCCAAATTATCGGTATCGGCAAATTTATCAGATAACAGCCCAAAAAGGGATTTCGGAGACTTCTAAAATTAAGGTTGGGGAATGCATATTGATTCTAGGGTCCCATAAGGATTGGGAACAAGTGTTATATTTTATTTGACCCGATAAAATAAAATATACTTAAAACAGTCCGGAAAATACAACTTTCGGGACCGATTGTACACTTCTGGACAAAAGGGTTGACCTCCCACATGGGTGGGGGCCAACCCACGAATTTAGCCTCATTATTCAAGGCCTGAGTCGGCTGGTAGGAGAGGTGAGGTGGGAGAGGACTGATTTGAGATGTTTGGCATCAAAACAAATCATGGTGGCCCTCCTCTCTTTCACTCATTGCCCAAAAGGAGACAAAGGGGCATTCCTACCCATCCCCCTCCTCACTAGTTTGGACAGCATCAAGGGAAAGGAGGAAATAACCTCTACAACTTCATCTTTCATAGCAAAATTCGAGCAGAGCTCAAACAAGAAAGCTGGGAGGAAGTTAAAGAAGGAAAAAGCTAGGAAAAAGTGTGAAAATTAAGGTAATGACATTATCATAACTTTTCCTTTGTTTTTCTTCTAGCATATAAGATATATATCATATGAAAGACCCTTAGTATTGTTCTACATGATTTAAGTGTGGAATAATGGGTTGGAAAGTTTTTCCAAGTCCAAAAACGGACTTAGAAGCCAAATCGACCGGTTTGCCGGAAAATGACCTTTTATAGGTTATTTGTGTTGATATGGGTTTTGTGATGATAAAACCTTGTTAGGAACTTGTTTTAAAATATTTTTGAGCTTCGCCGGAGTTTCGCCGGAGTTGGTCAAAGTTCGCCGGAGTTGGTCAAAGTTCGCCGAAATTAGTCAAAGTTCAATCGAGAAGCGTAGAACGTGCTTAAGCTTAATTAAGGTGAGGATGACCGACTATGTTACTTATAATCTTTGGGTTAATTTCATGGGATTTCCTAAGTGAATACAAATGTGATGTGCATGGGTTGTTAATGGTTAATAATGCCTAGATAAAACTACTATTGATTATAAGTCTAGTATGCATGATACACAAATTTATGAATAAATTGTGTATGTTTAGATGTTATGAATATGTGTGTATGATGGTTGTACCAACCATGAATTTCATTTGAGATAGTATACTTTGATACCATGAGGAGAAGCCATGAAGGTATGAAAGTGATACTTGATATTTAGGCCAATCATGCATGAAGGAAGAATTATATTGAAATAAATAAATAACTAGCATTGAAATATTAGTTGGAAATGTTAGTTGAGAAATGGATGAATTAGATCCTAAGAATGAGAATTATAAAGAATCGGTGATTATGAGCCGGGCTCGGGACCGATGTAGATAACGGTGATTATGAGCTGGGCTCTAGACTGTAGTAGATGACGGTGATTATGAGCTGGGCTCTAGACCGTGGTAGATGACGGTGATTATGAGCGGGGCTCTAGACCGTAGTAGATAACAGTGATTATGAGCTGGGCTCTAGACCGTAGTAAATAATGATGAATTGACACTAAATGAACGGATTAACTATAATGTAATAATGCTCTAGATTGAGGGCCTCAGAGATTTAAACTTCGATTATACTTAGTATAGTTGTCATTGTACTTGTCAAATGCTTCCAAGTACTGACCTCCCCTTCACGGGGGAGGCCACCTCACAGTTTCATGTAGAACTTGAAGGTTGCTACCATCAGCCGCTGTTTCGGGAAGTTTCTGAGAAGAAGACTTGGTTCGTGCTTCTTCCGTTCTTGTTTTGAAAACAATATGAATAATGCTCATGGATATTATTTTCTGAATATACATTTCGGGGGTTTGTATACCCATGTTTGCCAAGTGTGGCTTGTACACTTGTAATGTTGTTTCCGCTGTTTTAAATGAATGATTTACATTATGTTTGTTTATGGATGTACTATGTGTGAATGATATTCATGACGCCTTGTATAGTATGGATGAGTTGGACTGCGGTTGACTATTCATACTGTGCGGCGGGTTGTTGACGTGTCCGGCTAGGTCCGGGGCGTGACAGCTGATATCTTCATGCTTGACGAATTCGGCTTGACAAAGGCCCATCGTTCGTTATCCGACACGGAGTGGGAGCAAGCACGACATTGGGCCGGTCCTACTGTGGATGTAGTGAGGCCAGACGTTGGGAGTTTGCCTTCTTCTTACCCCTCCGGGTTCTTCGCTGTGTATCACGATGCACTAAGGCATGGTCCCCGCTTCCCTCTCAAGCCCTTCTACATCGATTACTTGAACTGGGTCGGTTTGTTGCCTTGTTAGCTCACCCCCAACGCTTTCTATTATATTGCAGCCTTCCTTTTGTGCTGCCACAAACTTGAAATCACCCCCACTGTTGACCTATTTCGGCACCTGTTCAACGTTACCCGCAATCCTTTACCCGCAATCCTTTGAAGGGTCATCAAAGCTATGTTTCCATTGCTCAGGTTGGGGGCATGAGTGGCTTTATCAACGCCCCCACCTCCTACCATGGATGGAAGAACAAGTTCCTTTTTGTTAACACAGATCGTGAGATGGGTTCACCTTTTACTGCTTAGGGGTCAGTGTTCGCGAAGAAACATAACGCTGGTGAGCTTGGTTTGTATGCAAGCATTGTGGAAAAGTATTTGAAGCCTAGACCATACGACATTGGGAGATTCGTGGCATTGGGAAATTTAACGAGACATAGGGTGATGACCATTATCTTTATCACGAAATTGGTATCAGCCACTCCATCCACGGATGGCGGACCACTGCGAACATCTTGCGGTCTCCGGCTAAAAAGCTAATGGAGCCCAGAGTTCGTTTATAGGCCCCTCGACCTCATATTGCTCCGTCATCTTTATTTGATGACAGGAAGCTCATTCACATGCCCCTCGGCCATATATCGCTCCATCATCTTTATTTGATGATGTGAAGCTCATTACAGGTCCCTCGGTCATATATCGCTTTGTCATCTTTATTTGGTGACGTAAAACTCATCTATAGGCCCCTCGGCCATATATCGCTCCGTCATCTTTATTTGATGACGTGAAGCTCATTTACAGGACCCTCGACCGTATATCACCCCGTCATCTTTATTTGGTGATGTGAAGCTCATCTACAGGCCCCTCGGCCATATATGTGGTGGCGGCGGCGGTGGTGGACCAAACCTTACCCAAAGATAAAGAACAAAAAATTAAGCTCTAAAAGAAGGAATGTCATAATAATCCATCCAATAAGATCATTTTGCAAAGATAGGAAGCTGATCCAAATAAAAATAGATTTTCGGGCTATCAATCAAAACTTGGGCCAAATGATGTGCAGCCCAATTGCCCTCACGTTTCGTATGCCCGAACACCACCCCTTTCCTAATCCGCATATGTGAAGTTTCCAAAAGTTTGTCCGTCCATCTTCTTCCATCCTTACCGGCAACATACTCCACTGCCATCATAGAATCAGTTTCAACCTGAAATCCTTCAAAACCAGAGTCCATCGCCCATTTCAAAGCGTAAAAAATAGCACGAAGCTCAGCGTCCAGAGGAGATCGAGCAAGCATCGGAAAACTTATAGCCGAGTCGAAGAGGCCATTTTTATCTCGCAAAATAGCTCCTCCAATAGATTTGCTAAGTAAGTAACTTGCGTCAACATTAAACTTCCAATTCCTACTTGGTCTGTTCCATCTAATGACTTCTAGCTTGAAACCTTTGAGCTTGAAATTTCTGGGAATTAATCCCTCTTCAAAAAGCACATCTCCAATAATCCTGATTTTAGAAGTAGAGATACTAGAGACCCAAGCTTGAGTATAAATTTTGAATTGGAGAATGATTTGTTCAGAACTAGGAGCATCTCCTCTTGATCCCCAAATTAGTCATTTATAATTTTTCCAAATAATCCAGCAAATGATTCCCGGAAGGTTTTTCCGAAAAAATATCCACCGGGCTTTTGCCACCAAGCCCACATCTCCAGTAATGGAAATTACCATAATCCATCCTAGTTCTTTGAAATATTCCAAAAATGCTCAAAAAATACTACCAAACGTTTTTAGTTACTGAGCATTGAAAAAATATATGTTGCATAGAATGATTGCTTCTCCTATACAACGGACACCTTGAGGGATTGAGGACTAGCTTGAATCTGCTTGGTCCAAAAAAAAGGTGGAATCTCCCACCCCAGAAGCCCCTCAATTCCCGACCCGACATGATTTTTGGGAGAATGTTAATCACGTTGACTCAGTCGTCTCAATGATGGTAGACCTTTTTCCCGTACGCACCAGAGACCCAACCTTATTTCAGGTTCTGTGACTTCCACACGACCGCTGCGGGTTTCGAATCTTGGTCACTTGGTTTAAATTTCCCACCACTGAACCAACTGAGCTATTCGTGCGGGTTAACTTGAATTGTTATGTATGTATGCATGCAGAGCATTAATTGTTAATTTAATCTAAGAAGTTATCAAGTTGGTAAACTACGTTCCTCATTAATACCGACTAAAAATTTAACGAGTCCCCCACAGTGTAATTTCCACTACAATTCTTCGTCTTCAACTTCCAGTTTCTGGTCTTGTCTTCTTCTGCTTCTTGCCTCACCCCACCTCTCCCTCTCTCAACTTCTTCCCTGGTTTCTCCAATTTTTCTTTGATATTTTTATGTAGTGCCTGCATATTACTAATTTAAATGTAAATCCATAGAGGTAAGGTACTGAGACGCCCGAGCAATGCAGTAAGCGTGATTTCAGCAGCCTACGGTGACGTTTCTCTATCCCTTTCTATGCATCTCCTTGTTTCTTCCGGAGTTCACTCTCGTTCTTTCATTGCCTTCATTTTTTTCCCGTCATATACGCCCCCATTTTCACGATGGCTACATTTCCGGGATTACAGTTTGCCAAGTCCCGAACAGGCTTCACGAACGGAAAATATTACCGTTTTCCTGTTCGGTTTTCTATATTTTCAGTCAATATGCGCTATGAATTTCATATTTTACAGATTTCGTTTCTTATTACAGTAGATGTATGTTTGTCAGTTGGTGTGGAGTTGCTTTTCTTATCTAGCTCAATGTTCATAACTCATAAGATAGAGTTTAACATAACTGTTTATGCTCTTTTATCTTTACTCCTCTCTTTTGTAGGGCTCGGAAGTTCCCATTATCCTCTGAGCAGTATAACGTGAAACCATGTTACTCACTCATAAAGGAGAAGAAAAAGATATTCAGTTTAGTTGGGGTCGCAAGACTGGTGTTCAATATTACGAGTCATTCACCTACAACGGAATTGCATATTTCCTTTACGACTGTGTGCACGTGGAGTGCAAAGGTGATTCTGAGCCTTCCATCGGTAAGCTGGTTAAAATATTTGAAACACCCACAGGCACCAGGAAAGTGAGGGTCGTGTGGTTTTTCCGACCAATCGAAATACAAAATTGGTTAGGTGATCTTCAACCTCTCTCCAATGAGCTGTTCTTGGCTTCCGGCATGGGGCAAGGGCTTTCCAATGTGATTCCTTTGGTAATGTCCTTTCCATCATAATTTTTTGTTTTTATATAGTATTATTCTATTCTGTGCATTCCACATTTCAAGGGTTTCATATTATCATATCTGAGTGTATAATGACAGAGATAGATGAAGTTTCTTATTAATTTATTTGATTAAACAATTGGGGTTTTAATGGGATATTGGGATATATATAATTATTTCCAGAATCACTCATTTCCTTTGAAGTGAACCTAATTGAAGTATGTTGTAAGGAGTTATGTATATTGATCTGTACTTGCAATGTGATGATGAAGCAAACAGTAGTCTGGTGGTATAGGCTGGTAGATGTAGACAATGTATGAAGATGTATTTCTTTTAGGTGGGATGCGGTGAGGGACGACAACAAAAGCCTTGGGTGCATGTTCTACTGTGTGTTGCAGTGATTCAGTGGCAAATTGTGTCTTTGTGTTGGTATTAAGATATAGGGTGTTTAATAACGTGGTGGAGTAAAATACAATGCTATGCTTGTCCTGAGTTCAGTGCCATGATTTTACCAGTATGCTTCATTTCTTCTTAGGAAGCCATCAATGGACCATGCTCAGTGATCTGCACATCAAAAGACAGAAGGAATACTCCGCCAACAGAAGAAGAGTTGGGAAATGCAAATTTCATTTTTCTCCGTACTTTTGATGTTAAAAGCCGCACATTATCAAAAAAGTTCCCAGATTTAATTGCTAATGTTGAAGGTTTGTAACGTTAAATATGGTATCCAGTTGTGTAACCTACCCATATCTGAACTAATGTATGATACAACTCATTCATTTGTACTAGCAGCTATTAATATACATAGCTTACTCTCTTTCTCTCCTCCTTGCATTGTCAGTAAGATATTGGCATGCCGTTTAAAGGGTTCTATCATATTGGTTATGTATTCTCCTGCTCAAAGTGACATACTCCTTCTGTATTGAAATGTTTGCTACAATAGGGTTTGACAAAATATTTAAGGGAAAATAGTATGGGTAATGAATAGTGTAGAAAAAGTAGGAGAGAAGGTGAAAAATATGAAATAGGAGATAAGAAGTAGAAAAGTAAGGATAATTTAGCAAAAAGGCAAAGTGTAGCAAAAGTTAAAATACATCCAAAAAAGAAAGTGTAGCAAACATTTCAATACAGAGGAAGTATAATTAAGAACCGAGTCTTCCAAATCATTCATTATTCTATAAGATGTCATCTATCTTTAATTTTTAAGAGCTTTTGAAGGGTAAAAAAATCAAGATGATGCAAGGAATAAGTATCTCAGTGGAGAAATCAGCAAGGCCTCCATCAGTCTTTCATATGCATACTAATGACGTTTTGTGCTGTGCTTTTATAGGTTTACTTTAAAATATACATATTTCTAGAGTGTAACTGCCCTCAATAGTACTTTAATGACTGCAGTGAAGAACTACTTTAATCAACAAAAAAAGGTGAAGCCTTGTCCTGCAAAAGATGAAGATCTGGATACAAAAAGTGCTAAAGCTGTTTCAGTTTCAGGGCTTGGAACAGCAAAAGCTAAACAAGCACAGTCTAGCAGGAATAGTATGCAAGTTACTTCCATTATGAAATATTTTCTCTCCTTGTGTCGTAATACTGACCAAGCCTGACCCTTTCCAATTTTCACAGAATCTTCATCATCAAGTGAGATTTATGATAATAAGTCTTACCACCCCACAAAGAGTTCTTCTACAGGTGTGTCTGGTACATCGCTAGTTGTGAAGAGGAAACATGAAAGTGCTTCAGGTGGCCCCAATGTTATCTCATTAAAGAGAATTAAGCTTGGAAATACTTCAAGCTTTCCTGCAACCTCTCCACCTAGGAAGAAGCACGGATGTGCTTTAGATTTCCCTTATACTTCCATACCAAAGAAGATAAAGCTTGAAAACCATTCAGGTGTCTGTCAAACTTATACATGTTATCTAACTTGTAAGCATGAAAAGAGCATTGAATGTGTTACTGAAAACATGCAGCTGCTGGACTTTCTCATCAATCAAAAGTAAGCCAAGGAAAAGATTCAGATGATAGGGTAGTGGAATTGGACCACAAAGTCAGAATGTTTCCTGCAAAAGCGGGTTATTTGGAAAAGAAAGAGGGTGTGGGAACTGATTCTACAATAAGGGAAGTTGTAAGAAAGCCAACTGAGGTAATTATTTGAAAAACAAATTTTAGGTCATAAACCGCTAATTATGAAACATCCGTGATGGAATCTTGTAGCATTGATTGTTGGAAACAGAGTTACTTTTAAGATTTCATCAAGCTATTTTGAGTTATATTTTCCAGTAGTCCAAGTATCTCTTTTTACGATCTTTATTTCTTACTGTTAAAATTCAGGGTTCCATCAAAAGGTCAACTTGATAAGAGTAGTAGCCCAAGATACTTCAACACACCCCTTAACCCAAAACGGATGGGAAAACATCGGGGTGTATAAATCAGCCAAATAAACTCCTAATGAGCTACTCTTAATCATGAGTGTTAAACAACAATCAAACAGGACAAACTTTGATACCGTGTTAAGATTCGGGGTTTGATATACAATTGGGATACAATTATACACACATTTGCAATTTTACCGTTTTTCTACTGTTTTCTCCTATGCTCTAATTTTCACATCTTCATTAGCAGTTTTTAACTCAGTCCAAGTTACTAGTTGGGAAAAAATGCTATATGTGAGTTTTTAACTGGACTCTTGCTATTTTATGTTTAATGATTTCAGGATTCAAGCAAATGGTTCATTGAACAGGTAAGTCACTTTTCACTTTCTAGTAATCTTATTACAATAAAAGATACTTACTCCCTCCGTCCCCGAAAGAATGTCCTACTTTCCCAAAATGGAAGTCCCTAAATGAATGTCCTACTTCTTTAACTTCCTTATCTGGTAAATAATTCTACATCAAACAGTGCAAAATAATGTTAAACAGTGGCAAACAGTGCACTCTACAGTAAAATTTAAATTCATTCCCTTAATATGTGTGAAGTCAAACTAGGACAATCTTTCAGGGACGGAGGGAGTATATGATAATCAAATGCCCTATTGCCAAAACTAGTTTTTGTAAATCGAGATGATCCAGCTGGTCATTTGACTGGTTTGAAAATGCCTAAACTAATTTATTGCTTCGAATCCTTTCATGTGTACTGAGTAACACCAAAAGAACCGTATATGTAATTGTAATGATATCAGCATCGTTTGGATATCGGCGTTTCAGCCATAAATTAGAGTCTTTGACCATTTTAGCTTGTTGGACCATTGCAACCGCTGTTCTTTTTGTGTTTGGCAAATAGAGGCTAGACGAAACGTTTGGGACAAAACCTCCAAAAATGAACACGCTGCTAACCGCAGCGTTTTGGTATTGGCGGTTTGAAAGCAATTACTGAATTCCACCGATGCCCTCTTATTTTGTTTCTGCTGCAACCGTTTGCTGTTTCAATCGTTTAGTGCTCCTCTCTAATTATGATCCTATTTATTTGCTCATCAGTTTCAACTATTAATTTCAATCGTTAGATCTTAGTTTTTTTGAAGGTAGACTATTCACCTCTAAGTCTCTAACATTTTATAAATCATCACAAAGTTCAAAACTAAGCACAAGAAAAATTATTTTTGTGATAATCTAATGATCAAAACTAATAGTGGATACTAATGAACAAACCAAATTATATGATAAACAATATTTTGACCAAAAATGAAGTTGGTATAACACGATTCCCGTCATGTGAGCTCTAGTCTATATATGTGTATGTGTATATATATGTGTGTGTGTATTTATATTTTGTTTCACATAAACCATCATTCCCGTGATAAATAAGAATATATGTAGTGCGTTGGATTTATGATCTAATGGATCTAAATATGCTAATAATTTATTAAATTATATAAAAACGTGGTGCCATTTTGTAAACATCATAATTTCCCTTCATTGCAAAGTGCATCTTCTTCATAAAACAGTGTTGATATATGATCAAAAGTTCAATATGAAATTTTTGTTAATGCAATAATGCACCGTATATGATCAAAGGTGTAGCCATTCACACTTTTCACGACCACGCTACTTTTTATTAGAATCTCACCATATATCTTTGTATGTATATATATTTTTATTTGTGTATTTGTAATATTTGTATCTTTGAATCACTTAAAAAATTTGTATTTTTGAAAAGTACTCCCTGGTTACTCTTTCATCTATGATCTATCTTGCCCAACTTCTCTTTTTTCTTTCTCCAAAATGGTATATATGCAAAAGAACAAAAATTAAAATTATTTTCTTAAAAAATGTGTCAAATCCTCATACATCTCAATTTATGGGATATGGGATGGAAGGAATAATGATTTGAAATCAATTCAGCTATGTTGGTTATATATTTTTGCTACATTTTTCTTTAGCCTTGGGAGAAAAGAATGCTAATGGCTCAAGAAAAAGGAACACTGGTTTTACTGGGAAACCTTGATCCTTCATTCACTTCAGCAGATGTGGAGGTATGCCTTTCATTAGGAATCAACAATAACATAAACGCTGCATTTTTTTTGTGATAGGCCAGAACATTATTTGACCAGGATGGTGGAAGGTACATGCATATCTTCCACCGCATCTGCTTTCCTTGAACGTTTAACTTAGGAAAATTCTACACCTTGAGGTATAGTACCTCACTACCTTGTCCTTGTGGACCAATTAGAACACTACAACTGAGTAATCTAAATATAAACAAATGATGAAATAATGACTTGAACCAATCAAATGCATTGTAGGTATGATATCCTCAATTATTTGTGGGGCACCGTAGCATTGACCTTAACTTATCCTGCAACCATACTGTGAAGGGGAAATCATATTTCTCCTTCCATCTCATTTCGTAAAATACACTTTTCTTTTGTGTTGTCTAAAAAATTTGAACACTTTGCTAAGTTGAGCACTATTAACTTTACTTTTTCGCTTCATCCCTTTTTTGCCGACATAATTACTTTTTTTTACTTTTGTAGGTTACAATGGTAAAACAACTACTATACCCTTTATTTTCTTAAAATCTGTGCCAAACCCAAGAGTATCTTACCTTACAACTTTACAACAAAGATAGCATAATTTTTTAAAGAATTTACCCATCCTAGTGTATCATGTTCCATTTTCCCATCATTTGCAATGGAGCCCAAGATTCACTATTTTTTTGGCTTGGAGATATGATGGAGTAAAGTAAATGGCTCACCAAATTGTCTGCGCTTCTTTGTTATGAAGAAGCAATCAATCCATGCAATTTAAGTCTCTCTGTGCTTTAGTACATGAGTAAGACTGCGTATATCCGACCCCCTTACCCCACCATAGGTGGGAGCCTTTGCGGCACTAGGGTAATGATGATGATGATGAGTGTATCATGTGTCACAGTTTATTTTTCTTAGTTTTTTCTTGAGACTTAAATGTAGTGCTCAGGATAAAGTTTTAATGGAGGCATATCTAATATATTGGATATAGTAAATATTTAATCTACGTCGTTTTAAAAGGTATAAGTTTTGATCGACTTTGATTTTATTTGCAATTGTTTTTGTTGGGAAGCTAATCATATTCTTGTAGGAGGTTTATGTGCGATTTTAATGGTAAACCCTCTTATTAATTGTTATATCAATGACTGAAAATCATTTAATCAGATTTTCCACTGTCTAATGGGTGATCAAATGTTTGATGATTGAGTTTGGTCATTATATGAAAATAATAATTGATATTTCTATCAGTGACTCCTTACATTGCTTTTTCCCAGGCTATTCTTTCGGATGCATTCAACTTGAAGGTTAGTGCAAAGATGATACATCATGGGACCTTCTTTAGTCTGAACTCTGGTATTTTTCAACAGTGCTCTCCGAGCCATATACATAGAGTTGTAAACGAATCGAATCGAGTCGAATAGTGAGATTTTGTATATGTATTTTTGTTTAATTTTTTCGAATACGAATCCAAATTCGAATATGAAACGAATATTAATTTCGATTTGTATTTGTTTTACAATACGAATAGTTAACGAATCATATACGAAATTATGAATATTGAATCGATTTGAGCATAAGTTAAGTATTAGTCAAATATTGCTTTAAAATAACTTTTCCTATATTTTATGTTATAAATGCATGCTATGACTTAATGTGTTTTAGATTTGATTTGTAACATTACATTTTCTTAAAAATTAATGAATCAATGCATTTTTAGATTGTGTACAATATAATAAAGTGAATCAATTTTATGATTTTCAAATATACATCTATTTCAAACATTTTGAAATAAACACTAACACACACATTAAAAATTATACTTATTATGTGTAAAATAAATTGATAATTGTATATACCAAAGACAAATGTCTCTAATTTTATGTTAGATATTTAACATTGTTGCTAATAAAAAACCATTCGACATACAAAGTATAATTTAAACTATACACACACACATATAGTGGATAGTTGATTCACACACATGCATATTAGGTAGTTGATTTTGTATATGTATAAACGATTATATTTGATTATTCTTTGAATTGAATGCATAATTTTTTGTATTCGTATTTGAAAGATATTAGAACCAAAAAGCTGATTTGTATTTGTATTTATATTATATTATTTCAAATTTAAATCATAATTTTTGAATCCAAATCACAAATCGAAATAAAATTATTTGCTTCATTTACAACCCTTACTTCGTATGATACTTCTGATTTATTACAAATAGACTTGGAATTTGTGTGCGTAAATGTATATATATAGGCTACACTTTGCGGGTATAGCTATCTTTTAATAATTATTATAGTGTTATCACTATTATTAATATTATTATTAATAATATCACTATTATTTATCGAATATATTTGATTAACATTCGAATCGAATACACTGATATTCTTATTTGTATTTGATAACAATTCGAATCAAATTTAGTATTCTTATTTACTCGAGTATTTTTGTATTCGAATTTTTCGAATTCGAATAGCCTTTTACGAATTCGAATCGCAAATCGAGCATAAATTATTTGATTCGTTTACAACCCTTGATATACATATATATTTTGAACTATATGATAAGATGTCTTCATTTTTCTAGAAGTTTGTTTTATTGTTTGAATATTGCACCTAGCAGGACAAGCTTTTGCCATATTCAAATCCAGGGAAGCTGCAAATTCAGTAATTTCTAGCTTAAAGACAAGGTGTCTGATGCTTGGTGATGGAAGGTATTTAAATTCCCTTTGATCAAGGTGCCTACTATTACTGCCTAGGAGAATGATTGCAGAGTTTTTTTTGTAATGGATAAAATGCGGTTGTGTGAGCTTGAGAAGATATATCACCCTGATTTGATGATAACCTTGTTATCTACTGGGGTTCTTCAAGTCGCGGACATGAATTAAAAGGATAAATGGAATTGTGGAGGGGCAGAGGAAATAAAGGGAGTTTTCATTCGCTATTGGAATTTCATGAGTTATCCTTCTCCATTATTTCTTCTTAGTTCCTCCTTTGATATTTTATTAGCAAAGCAAGCTCCATTTTATAATAGGGATTAGATTCATCGAAATGCTTTCAAGTTAAAACACATCCTGAAGTAGATAATCTAATATAGGTATTAAGATCATGTTTATCACTCTTCAATCTTCCTCTTGATCTTTTATCCATCCATCATTGCATCCTTCTAGATCAAGTTTGTCCTCTAGTTTAAAAACTCGAACCTCACCCTGACCGATTGCACCAAAAAAAAGTGTCACCGGTCTCTCTGTTCTTGAAAAAGATTGAAAGTTTGTTGTAGAGGTGAAATAAAGCGAAGGTGAAGAAAAACTGTTCTAACTCTCCTTGAAAGACGGTGGTAAACTGGGAGGCGTTTAACGTGCCAAACCATATTGGAAAAGTCCTAGAAAATCACTTCCTAAAATATATTAAATAATGAAGGTATTAAAATCAAATCATACATTAATAATGGCGAACCTTTTCGGGACGGAGGTAGTATTTATCTTTATCTTGTACATTCTATCTTACTTTATCTTTTTATTTTTCATCTCTTTTTTGGCTCTGATATCATGGATCAATTCATGTTAGCCGACCTCAAAATCTTTTGAGAATAAGAATTGGATGTTGTATTGAAATCAAATCATAATAAAATCAATCAAGCAAACCAATTAGCTATCACACCTCATTATTCTACTTTCTTATCATTCTATTTGATTGTCTTTTTATCTTTCCATAATATTATTATGTAACATCCATTGTAATGGAACTTTAGGAAGCTTCCTTCTTTGGGAATTTGAATTTGTGAAGTGTTCCTTCAATCCTTCCATTTTATTTTTCTGAATTGTATGATTTGATTGCGTAGGCCATTAGTTGCTCGAATGGGATCTCTTATGGAGCCACGTAAACCAAGTGGATTTGTTGGCCACCTTACAATTGACCGAGTGAGACCTCAAAAGCAACGAATAGAGATGGTATGCATTTCTCATTGAATTATACACATATTTTCTAACAATTCTTTGTGTTATCTATATTTGAAGCATATTTCCATCATTTTCAATGGAGCCCAAGACTCACTATTTTTTGGTTTGGAAGTATGTTGGAATAAAGCAAAATGGCTGACAAAATTGTCGGCGCTTCTTCATAAAGAAGTCCATGCAATTTCTAACGCGATTTTCATCATGGGTCATCCAGAATAAGGGGAAGGTTGTGTACATCCGACCTCCCTTACCCCACCTTATGTGGGAGCCTTTGCACCGCTGGTGTAATGTTGTTGTTGTATTTACATTTGAAGCATAATCATATTTTTTTATGTAGCCTATGAGAAAAAAATTGCCCACACCTTATTTAGCTTTAGCCTTATAATTACATATTACAAAACAAATGATTCATACTTAGTCCCAAAATACACGGTCATCTTTTAAACTTTGACCAGCACATACTCCCTTCGTCCCAAAATACTTAGTCATCTTTTAAACTTTGACCAACTACATATTTTTATTGGAAGTTATTTATCATATAAAAATGATATGAAACTGTTCTTTGTTAGAAGTACTTTCATAAAAGTATAAAATTTAGGACTTACATAATATTATACTACCTCCGTCCCAAAAAACTTTGTCATCTTCAAAACTTTGACCGACTATATCTTTTTATTGAAAATTATTTATTATTTATAATATAAAAATTATATGAAAATATTCTTTGTTAAAAGTATTTTTATAAAAGTGTAAAATTTATAATTTCCATAATACTCCGTATTATACTAATCAAAATCAATGTTCAAATTTTTTGAAATGGCAAAGTTTTTTGGGATGGAGGTAGTACTAATCAAAATCATGGCCCAAACTTTAAGAGATGGCTAAGTATTTTGGGAGGATGGTGGTATATTTTAGAAATAATTACATAAATATGACCAAGATAAAGATGATTTACAAAAATATGACTAATGACTAGAGTAGTAATGAAATCATAGTAATTCATGTTCAAATTTTGATCTTAAGTTACCACAACACCACATTGTAGTAATGAATAGTCATATTTATGTAAATATGTTTTATTTTAGTAATATTCTTGTAAAAAACTCTATATTTTAGCAAGATAATGTTTTTATCTGAACTTCCAATTATACCTCTACTCTAAGTCAAATAAGAAAGTAACTAAAAAGTAAAAGAAATTGTAATAGTTTCTATTGAAGAGTTTCTTTTTATGAAAATAAGAAGTTTATTTTGGGACACCCAATAAGGAAGGGAGAGTTTTTGGAATGGAGATAGTATTATTTTTCCAGGTAAGTTGGAAAGTTCAAAAAGCTTCCACCTTCCCCCACCCTCCAATTTTTGTAAATTGTAGAAATGGACAATGCATGTCATCCCAATGTTTCTCTATTCATTTTGAGTATGATGATGGCCTTATTTCATCGTCTTTATTTGAATAGCCATACTTCCAGTTTGGTCATGTTCCGATGAGGTGCATGTTGGTTTTACAATATTAAATCCTGTAATAAAACCTGACCGTTTTGGAAATTATTATTAGTAATTATGTCAACTCATCGTTCTCTTATATTTTTAGATGACTGTTTTGGAAATTATTATTAGTAATTAGGTCACTGCTAGTAGAACACCTTTTGCAAAATCCTAATTATACACAAATAGGAGACACCATAATTCAGTCTGAGGTGATGATGATGATGAGGAGCCATAGTTCCGGTGGGTTTCCCTTGTTTGTCGGGGAAGTCAAAAACTCAAAATCACGAGATTAGTGAGAAACTTATGAGAAGTATAATATACCATACATTTGTGAAATTCAATTGGTGTGTCCATGTTCATTTGACTGAACAAGCTTGCCTATACCAATTGTGAAGTATATTTGGTCGAACTGATAGTTTAGTACATAGTACACAATTGTTGATGGTCACAAGCTAATTTTTTTCTTCAAACAACATGCGCTTGTGTTATGGTCTTCTCATCTGAAAGAGAACATCAGTATCAACATCCCACTATTCCCAGAACAATACAATTGAATATGAGATGGCCTTGGAATGGTTTGTATTACAAGAACGATCAGACCGAAGGTGGAAAGCATTATATGAGGTAATTATTGAAGCCCATTGCCTTTTCTTGATATGCTTATCTTGTGAAGCTTTTCGATGCTCTGAATTTTAATGATTGAAGATGTTCTCATATTGTATTGCTTTTCTTGTCCAAAGAGTCAAGCAAAGGAACTTGCAGAGCTTAAGAGCAAATTCAAGACCCCACAGTGAACAGTAATTTTCAACGTTTAGAAGTTAATAGAGTTCCCGAGTTTAAACTGCAAATGTAAGATCATTTTTTTTGTTGCTAAAATCTTTTCACTTTTTGCTTGTAATTTGTTGCTTTTATGCATGGATGAATGTGAACGATGTCCTTTTTCCCTTTACAGGAAGCAATTTTTGTTTACTCTACACTGATACTATATGGAATCACTAGTCAAGATGTCCCTGTTTTGGAGACCGGGCTGCACCAGTTACAGAATGGCATATTGGTATATGGCCTGTTTTAACCAGGATAACTAAATGCAGGTCTTTGTTTCACATTGTGTTCCAACATGCTATTAAACTTTTTGTGGCTTTTTTGTTCCGATAGGTAACGCGGTGAAATATTTATTACTGCTCTTTGAAAATAGGTCTGCTAATTAGATGTGGTGTCAATCATTTTTTCTAAATGCCCCCATTTGGATAGTAGCGGTTTGAGCAATACGCCGATTGTTTTGAACTGCAAAACGCTGCATTTTGCAGCGGTTAGGCAGCAATACGCTGCATTTTGCAGCGGTTAGGCAGCAATCCGCCAAAAAACAAACGGGGCCAATATCATTATTGCTGTGAAAAGAAACAGCACACGGTCGTTGGGCGAGGGCAAATCTAGGAATTTAGATTAAGCAAAGCACAAGTGTACGTATATTAAGCTTAAAACAGAGTGGGCTAAACGTGAAAAACGGAAAAATAAACACATCTGAAATTTGAGAAAACATTAATTTGCACTAAACTTTGTCCGACATACCCTCATATGGATCCGTCACTACCTGCCTGGACCAGCAAAAGGAGAGAGATATATGGATGATGGATCTTGTCTATGGTTACATGCATCATCATTCTTCTCCCTTTCTTTCGGTGATTTTAAAGTTAAAGATATGATGGATATCTAGAGCCCGCTTGGTGACTGTGAATCTCTGCTTATCAAGCTTAGGGGTGGACTAAGTCGGGTCGACCTGACCCGGGACCTGGCCCAGCCTGGCACTGTTGGGACCTGACCCGGCTTGGTGAACCAGGCTCGAGACTGAGGTCTGAACCGGTCGTGTGAAAGGGTGGGATTCGGGATCCTCTAATGGTGGACCGGCTGGGCTTGGTCGGATCCGGGCCTTTTTTTTTTAATTTTTTCCCATTAGAATTAATTCGAAAAGATAAAAAAAAATCCCGACCCGAGCCCAGTCCACCCGTAATCATGCTTATCAACCAACTTCTTAACTAAATACGCAACTTTTGATTTCACGTTGAATTGTGTAAATAAAAAAAGTATGGTTGTAGACTTGTAGTTACTTTTCTAGTTGTACGACTGAAGTTAATGGAGATGACCATTTTAGTTATTTTCATATAAAATTTTCTTTATTTTATTAATAAGATGTATTTTAAATATATTTTTTTGATAAATCATCAGAATGAGCCAATATAACCACTTGAGTCGGAGCTTTTTAAATTTCAGCTGAATCAGTTAATTTAGCCGAATTCAATGTTATCAATCACGCTTGTAGTGCACTACTCAAATATAAATTCAACATTTTTTTTACATTTGACGTATTCAATAAATGCTATCCTCCTGGGGTGAGTTTCAAGGCCATAATCAATGAGTGTTTTAATGGGTTATTAGCTCACTTTAATGGGTTTAATTATTGATGGACTCGGGCCGGGTCGGGCCGCCGGGTTGTATGACATGGGCCCGGGACCGGCCCGAGGGTTGGACGGGTCTGGTTCGGGCCAGGCCACCCGCCCGGGTCACGGGTTGGGTCCGGTTCGGGTCGGGTCGGTTAATTTTTTTTTTATAATTTATATTTTATAGTTTATAGTTTTATACGAGTATTAAAAACAAATTTCAATTGCATTTATTTGAAATGAAATAGGAACTACATTTGAAAATTAAAACAAACTTTAAGAGATAAACATTTTGAAAATTGTAATTAATCGGAACTTCCCGCACCTTCCGATCCTTTGGCTTTGTCACATGACTTCATATGCTTGATTGCCATCCCGAATCCGCCTGAAGCCACCATGCTACATTTTTTCTCGCATCATTTGCAAATTGCGTACCACATCCCGGTCTTCGGATCCTTCTGCTTATCAAAATTATACCGTATAATGACATCTTGATTTTCCATCTTAACTTCTTAAGTATAAACTATAAAGTAGATATATAAATAATAAATATAATATATTGGAGAATAAGAGAATTAGAGAGTAGAGAGTTAAGAATAGGATTTAGGAAGAATTGGAGAAGAGATATGAAAAAATGTTTAAGATTAGGAGTATTTATAGGTTTTTTTACCCCCACCAGCCAACCCCCCCGGATCCCCCCTTTACCCCACCCAACGGCTATATAGCCGTTTGGGTTGTCCCCATCCCCACCCCCAACGGCTAGTAGCCCAACCAAACAATTTTTTTTTAAATAAAACCGGACCCGGGCCCGACCCGGCCGGGCCGGGTCACATTATTCCAACACCGAGCCCGCCCCGTCCCTTCCCACCGGTCCGGGCCCATACCCGGTCCCGGACCGGTCCCGGGCCCGCACAGTACCGGGCCGGGCCGGGTCACGGGCCGGGTGGCCCGAACCGAATCCATCCCTAGGTTTAATCAATTTCAGTTAGTTTGACCGAATGATCAATTTGGTGTTCGATAAATAGCTTTCTGAATTTAAAACGAAAAAAATGTCTGATGGAAAAAGCCAAGCATTGCATGATTTCTCTCTACACATGCTTGTACATTTGTGATAGACATTAGATTTTTTTATTATTCATCTGTGATATTTTTACCCAATTTTGGATGTGTCTCTTTGAGTTTACTACGGTTTATATTTTGATTTTGTTTTTGCAATTCACTGTGGTGAATCAATTGTTAGGGTTAGAGCACACACGTGCATGAATCTGAAAAACTAGGGAAAAGAACAAGAAGAACGACACATGAATTTAACGTGGTTCAGTCAATAAATGTTAGTGAACTAATCCACGGGGCAACTAGGCATGAACTCGGGCTGGTCTGTTTTTTTTTTTATTCTTGAGGCCCGTAACCGGCCCGGGTAGCTATCGGGTCCGGTTCGGGCCAGGCCTCGGGGCGGCTACTTGATTTTTTTTTATTTTCTAATTACTTCCTACCCCCACCCCCCACACCCCTCTAAAACACCCACCACAACCCATTTACCTCCCAAAGTTTTTGGAAAAAAAATTGATTCAAAAATTGATTCAAAATTGGCCGGGCCGGTTCATGCTATAGAGACTCAGAGTCCGGTCCGAAAAATCCCGGTTCGGATATAATGCACCCGGCCCGGAACCCGGGCCCCGGTTCAGTCTGGTTCATAACAGTATCAGGTCGGGCCGATTTCGGTCCGGTTGACCCGACCCAAGTCCATCCCTATGGCCAACTAGGGTTTTCTTTCTTATTGAGATGATGAATGATACAAGTCATCGTTTACAAGTGCATGAGTCAATATATATAGACATTATTGGCAAACAACTAGGATAATAAACACTTAATACAGTTTTGGACCTGACTGCCACCAAAGAAACAGACCCAACTAGAGCTGCCTGCACATTTAACTAGGGTTGACTGCTGCTCTTTGTTTATTTGGCTCCCAGATCTGAGTGGGCCTAAGCCTACAGCTCAACATCCTCCCTTTTGGAAGCTTCGAAACATGACCAACTGCACTCCACTCCTCTGTACTTCTATAAACTTCATCTGTGGTTTAGCAACTCATAGTTACCACCTCCCGTCTCAACATTATTTTTGAAGGTCAGCTGAAGTTACACAGAACTTCAGCTTGTCCAGCGTCACAGAATTTGTAAACGATGTTCTTCAAATTCACTGTTCCTCCACTGATCAACCCCGGGGCAACGCCCGGGCTAAATGCTAGTTCCATTTTGTACACTTGCTTCGATTTCAAATTTTGACTTCATCTGTGCTTTAACGATGTTCTTCAAATTCACTGTTCCTCCACTGATCAACCCCGGGGCAACGCCCGGGCTAAATGCTAGTTCCATTTTGTACACTTGCTTCGATTTCAAATTTTGACTTCATCTGTGCTTTATCCTCAGTTAATCGGCTTCATCTAGGTAAATCAAAGTATTCGATTTTCAAAGTATTTTTAAAATGTAATTTAACAAAAAAAAGTATTTTAAAAGTGTAGCATCAATTCAATAAATTTAGATTCTTATAAACTCATCTTTTGATATTCTGATCCAATATTGATTTAGAGAAGTTTTCCTTATCTGGCGATTTAAAATTTTTAAGTATTAGCCATTTGACATCTCATTTCATTTAAGAAATTTTTACTAAAACATTATTCATAAAAAGTTATGAAAAAAGTGGGACTAGAGTTACTATGGATATTCTTTTCACAAATTATTAAGCCACTTTTTTTATTCACTATCAATATTTTAATCATATTATCATATACTCCCTCCGTTCCTATTATATCTTTCAACTTTCCTTTTTTATCCGTTCCAATTAAACTTCCACTTTCCCCATTTGGTAAAGAATTTGTGGTTCACAACGTTTCTTACACATTTCTCTCTCCTCTGCACAACTCTCCACCACACAATACCTACTTTTCTTAAATTGTGTGCCTATAGGAAATGGAAGATAAAATGGGAACGGAGGGAGTATCTTCTTTTTAATGCAAAGATTGACTATATAAGTCTTGACAAAAAATTACTATATAACTCACTACAAGTTATAGTGCTAGAACAATATTAATAACAACAACTAATTTTTACGTGAAAACCCGAAAGAGTGACAATCATGATGCTTTTCACGTTAAATCCAATTCATCTCTTTTATTCATTTGTCTTACCATGTTTTACACATTGTACAAAAAGCTGCCTTTAATGGAGAGTTCAAGGTATTCTAGAGTAGGGTTGTAAACGAATCGAACCGAATACTTGACTATATTATTCGTATTCATATAATTATCTAATATTCATATTCGTATTCGCTTGATACCCGGATATTAATTTATATTCGTATTCGATTCATTTGGTATATTCGAATATATTTGAATATTTGAATTCAAAAAACATTAAAGTTAAGTTATGAAAATGATTAAAATTATAATGCCTAGTTTGCCCCTTTTACCTCATTTTCACAGTACACTAGATTCGCACCCGCGCGATGCGTGAGATATTAAAATGTAATAGTGATATGATATTATTTGTAAATATTATTTGGTTGTGTTGAAATAAGAAAAAGTAAGGCTGAAGTTACTTTTCTGGCTGTATTAGCAGAAGTTACTATAGAGGATCATTTTAGCTATTTTTTAATATAGTTTTTTCTTTATTTTATTAATAAAATATATTGTATATATAATTTTTTTCATAAATCAGCAGAATCAGCCAATGCAGTCACTTCAGCCAGAATTTCATAAATATCAGCAGAAACAGCTGATTCAGCCGATTCCAGTGTTATCAAACAGACTCATTATAATTATAACAACAACAACAATAA